CCTCTACGACTTAGAAGACGAAAGAGGAAACGAGCTATTAGCGTCGATCGACTTAGAGGATTCTGTCAGTGACAGTGCGACCTACCCGTTAACTGAAAGTGAGGTTTCTAACGAAGTTAATTATGAAAACAATGATCGCGGCGGAAACTTAAACAGGCAAAGATTTGAAAACATGTCGAGTGCCGCAATAGACGATATAATTACAAGAGCAGAAACAAAGAAAACCAAACAATGTACCAAATGGGCTGTCCGAGTTTTTTTGTTGCTAAAATATAATAAATACATTATGAAAACCTCGAATAGAGTGGACGCACATTTGCTAAATTTTCTTGCCAAAAACAAAACAATCAAGGAAAGAGGATAGTTTTAAAATTGGCTAGTACACATACGTTTCTAACCAACAACTACAACTTTCTCTCGAAAATGACCACCAAAATATAAATAAAAATTTTTTTTTTTTCGTTGTGCTTGCCGGCAGTGAAAGAAAAGTTGCCAAGAACTTCCACGAAATGAACAACAAAGAGCTTGACCTAAATTTCCGCTAATTTAACGCAGAAGCACGAATTCTTATTCGACGACAACGGACGGGAATAGGTTTCAATAACCCATGAGGAGGCTACTAGGAACCATCCACGGGGGATCGAAGACATCAGCAGTGTCGAAAAGGAGGTCAGGATGTATTCAACGTCCGGAGGATCCACTTTTTGACGGCCTCAACTGCTTAAAGAACTACGTCCAGAAGTTAAATCCTGCCTACGAAGCCCTTTTTGAGTACCCAAAGCGAGCCTTGAAATCTGAAGATGAAGTTTGGTACGACAACAAGCCTCTGGGGCTCAACAAAATTGAAGCAATCATGACAGAAATTTGTAAACTGGCGTCTCTTTCGAGAATCTTCACGAACCATAGTGTCAGGGCCACTGAAATCACGCTGTGGTCCAACGCGCAAGTTCCATCGCGGCACATAATGGCGATCTCTGGTCATCGCAGTGAGGCTAGCCTGAGGAATTACAACACTCGTCCATCCAGTGAACAGCTACGGGCTTATTCAGATATCCTCTCTGGTGCATTGAATGGAAGACCATCGCAGCCAAGTTCCTCTGATGCAGCCTCCAGTTCAAAAAATCCTCCCGCTGCTGTAAATTCGACCGTTGTTTATTCACAGAAAAACACAGCGCAGCAACTTGTCAAGTTCCAACCACAGGCTTTAAGACCTCCAGGTTTTCATGGGCCAAAATTCGGCCGTACTTCATTTATCATGTTACTAAAGATACTAGTTTTTGTATGCAAAAAGTACACTTTTAAGCATTCGAATTATTACGTAAGATTTGCGATCCTTCGTGATAGCTTTTGATGGTTTGACATTTTGATAGCTTTAGTCTTGTTTAATCAATCAAATTAGGTTGTCTATTCTAACAAGGATTCTGATTGGCTTATTGTAAACGTGCTCTGTCAGAGTATAGAGCATGCTGACGACATTGTAGTTCGCTTTGAAAATAAAGTTTGTTTGAAAATTGCAAGTAATGCGTTGTGAATTTAACGGATTCTTTCTTATAAAACAAATAGAGAAGCCTTGACTGTGCTCTGTTCTGTAGTAAAGCACTTAGGAAGCGGCTAGAGCACTCAAGAAGTGGAGAGAAACCCTCGACTACGTCCCGTGTTTCTCCCTACACTTCTTTCGTGCTCTAGCCGCTTCCTGCGTCCTTTACTACAGAACAGAGCACAGTCAAGGCTTCTCTAGTTGTTAAGTAATGACCTTTAGACCCCAAAATCACCCACATTACGCTTGGACCGCCTGTGCTCAGACAAGAATGTTTTTACTCACTATTTACTCGAGTTCTCTTTCGGAGCTTGGAAGTCACACGGCAAATGCAAATAACAGTGGGAATCGCAAGAAGTGACAGGTAAGGTAAGTATTCGAACCCCATTTCCCACTTTGACTTTGCGGAGCCGACTGTCCCTATACAAAAATCAGGAAAAACAAATACTTGCAATGAGAAACGAAATTAAGAGTTATTCAAAATTTTGTATGCAAATTTTTGAATACAATCCTCTGTGAAGCCAACTATTTGATTTAAATCTCTGTGGTGAATATATTGAGGATTGGGACTTCCTTTCAACATCGAGTTACTCTAAATATGACCAAAAAGTGATGGGAGTTTTCTCTGCAACCGCTAACTCGATCGTGCCAAAAGCGCGGGAAAGAACAGCTTGGTTGTTTGCGATGCGGTTCGTACGGGAAACAAATCTTCGGCCAGAGTTGCTTAGTGTGGTCTGTACTCTTTGTGGTCAAAATGATGTGGACTCACGAGGCACAATCGAGCGAGTTCGCAACAAATGTTGACCACTGTGATAAGGAATGTCGTGGTCGATAAGAATGTAGACCACGCTAAACCACTACCGATTATTTTTTACCAAAATATCGACGTCAAATAAAACAATTCATTCAGGTTTGAGAGCTGATAAAGGCATTGCGTGACACGTCGACGTAAGCAGCGTTGTCTGTACTCTGAACGAGAACGGCAATTTGGCCAATTAAATCGCAACATTACTGCCAATTGTGATAATAATAAAATTTTCCGAGTCTCAGCGCTTAGTAAGGTTTTCGGTAAGGTAGCAATGAATGTCTATACTGCATTTTCTTTTCTTCAGATTGAAATAATTTACCCAGCTTAATTTTTTTGGAAATTAATACTACTGCGTATCTGCATAAACTTTTTTCGGAAATCAAGGCGGGAGAAACATATTGGACGCTAACAATGTCAGACACTAAGAGACGCTACTAAAAAGCATACCATGTGACACCAAGATGTTTGAATTTGAAGTTGATACACTTCCCGCGGTTGCATTTTCTGAGACACCTGCATGGCAAACAGTTAACTCAAAAAAATTGGTTTCACAAAGTGAGTTGATTAATAAATGTAAACTGACCGCAGCAGAGAGTTTCTAAAGTTAACCCAAATGATACTCTCTAAGATAACGTAACCTACCATGGGGTAATGGTGATTGACAATTATCGGTTGCAAAGCGAAATACAGAGAGCATGAAGCCTATCGCAGAATCTGATCTAAACAGCTTTCGTTCTCTACTTTTAGTTTGGACATTAACCAACCTGTACATTGAGTCTTTTAGCGACTGTGAGAATATTCGTATATTTAATTTGAAACATATTCGTACCTTTAAAGGCTTTGAGGAATATAATTTTAAACGATTGCCATAGTGATAGACAAAGATCATGTCATGTAAACTGTGTAAGGCTAATAAGTCTCTACTCTAGCCTACTGACCATGACCCACCCACAAGGAGCTTATTCCGATTTTCAAGTAGCATGAAGTAACTAGTGGTGTTATTATATTCCCCGCTGGGTGGAATGATAATCCATCACTAGGCTTACCTGACAACTCGCCAAAGAGAGGCACTGTGAGAGTAAAGTGTTTTGCCCGAGAACACAACACATCGACCCGGCCAGGTCTGAACCCAGACCTCTCGACCTGGAGCCCAGTGCACTAACCATTGGGCACTGCATATCTCACAATACATATAAACAGAACATTTTTCGAAACCGAAAAAGAAATTGTTTGTAATAGTCTCATAGCGGAGGACAAAGAGGAGAAAGAGCTACCAATTAATGATTAGTTTTTTGAGCACTTACTAGTTGGGACAGTCGTTTCTAAAAAAAAAAGGAAAAAAAAAACGTTTCAGTGAAATAATATTTTTACGCAAGGTATTGACAACTGCGCGTGACATTGTCTATGACAGTGAGACTCAATCTCAGCAAAAGTACTTAAGTTCGTCAAAATTCAAGAGTGTACCTCTGATGACTGTGACCCTAGCTGCATTTCTAGGATCAGTAGAGCTCTGACCCTTCCTATTCCAAGCTGTCACCATAATCTCGTACGTCATGCAGCAGTTAAGTCTGACTGAGTATCTGTTTTGAGTCACATTCACTGTAATCCACTTTTTCTGAGCTAATGGTCGATACCAAACAGTAAACATAGTAACGTTGTCTCCATTTTCGTCCTTCGGGTATTCCCAGGTGCATGAAAATCTCGTGTCGTTGATCGACATGTCGTCAAAAGGAAGCCTTACTACCTCTGGAGGTCCTGTGAACAGAAAGAAAGACACACAAATTCGGTATACAAAAGAATTTTTGATAGTGTATGTTGGCCACCGTGATGGGTTTTTTTAGGCTGGCGTTTGGAGTGCTAATCCCTTATCATAGAGAAAAGAGGAATTTCAGGTTGTGTGTGGTTTATAGCAATGTTATAGGTGGGAAAATGGTAACGTGAAAACACAAGAAAAATGAGTTGATTGAAAGCATTCGTTGTTACCGTGGGGATTGCAGGAAACGGAGACATCCCTTTTCCCTGGAAAATACCCCTGGTGTTCTGGCTAAACCATGTATCCCTAGCTTTTAGAAAATCGTTTAGTACTCAGAGGGCTGATCACTTTGTTTTATCAGTGTAATTTTTTCAACACTGAGTAAAATTATAACTAAGAAGAGGCATAGAAAAAAAATCGGTAATAATAAAACATAATAACAGTAAGAGCCAAGATAATAACAATAGATAACATAGTTTGGTCAATCAGCGGAGTTGTATAAGCCTTGGGAACTCTTTCAGGTAGCCGAGATACACCACAAACCTAGTTCATAGACCAAATGTATCTTGTAAAACCCCCTTTCTCCTCTTCCCCTAAAAAAAAAAGCGCAACACAGTTTTTTCAAAAACTTACTTCCTTTTGATAATGGAACAGATTTATTCGACATAGCAATGGGAGTATGGCCCCCTGTGGGAGAGACACTCAGTTTAGGTGTCTTTGAAGCATTTATCGTCTGTGAAAGAAAGAAAGAATAATTAAAACCTAGCTTCTGGTGGGTTTTTACTGAGATTGTTTACTTGTTCCACCGTTAACATTTCAATTGCGTTAGATACGTTCTCAGTCGGAGACCTCAACCAATCTGGTGGCTGCAAGTTTAATATCAACACTTCAGTAGTGATGTCACCTTACGCAGTCAGTGAAGCATCATAAGTGTATCGAGAAGACACACAATGATCAGAGATTGGGTATCCGTCTCAAATAACGTTTAATACTAATGTAAGCTTCATGAAGAAATTCAAAAGCAGGTGGAAAAGAGTGAACTGCAAAAGAATTGCCTCCAAGATTATTGCCTTGAATTAAGTATTCCAAGATAGCTTTTTGGCCTGATCCCAACTTTCCGCATCAAAATCAGCCGTCATTATTAAGTTAAGTGAATGGTCGTACATAAACATCATCAGAAATCGTGGACATTTCGAGCCCTTTACGAAATGTCTGCGGTATATCGTATTACAGACAATTCAATATGGCGGTGGTGGAAGTGAAGTGAACACGTAACTTTCTATTTTCGTGAAACCCCGCCAGAGAAAGGCACGGTACCTTATTATCCCAGGAAGCCATAGATGTCAAAACAAGGAAAATGGCGGCAAAATTGTGCAGTCACAGGGACTTGTATCTTTCGTGTTCTTCCTTCCTAAAATTGGCGTATTAAATAATGACGTATTGAGCCTTTCAGCTCTGTGAAAATACGAAGAGTCTCCCGGCTCAAGGAAAATTTGTAGGCCTACATATTCGACCGTTTACGAGCGATTTAGTTAAGCAAACTTCTGCAGAATGCATATCGAACTACGCAGTTGCGAAATTTTCACAAGGTTGTTCCCACGACAAAAGAATTGCAACACCTAATCGAAGCAGATTGTGAGAGTTTGTATGGGAAATTGGAGTCAGAATTATGAGTTTACTCGTATAACTTGGGAAAAGGTTGGCTTGAATTTGAGTATTTCTTATTCCTAGCGATGGACGCTTTAACTGATGCAGACTGCATTTCCAACCACGCAGCGAAAGAATATCCCTTTCTTAGACAGCTATATTGAAAAAACAATCTTTTCCCATACATTTTCTTATACTGTTTCGGTGCCATTTTGCTTGTAACAGGAGAACCGCCTCCGCCATATTGTCCCAAATTTCTGGCAATGATTACGGTTGCACCTTCTGAGGTTAACAGATATACAGTTATGTGTTAAATGCTTTCTTCAGAATCTTACCTGGACATTTAAGGTGATCTTAGAATGAATTGTTCGTCGGAAACCTCCCACGTAAACTTGACATCCATATGAGTTGCTATCGGAGAGTGTCAGGTTTACCAACCTGTAGGCCAAGTACGACTGCAATATGTCTCCTGCCCAAGTTACTCGTCCGACGTAACTAGGGTGTGTCTTGCTTAGGTAAGGATTATGGATCACTTGTCCCTGCTTGGTTACCGTCATAAGATAATGGGTGGTATATCCATTCTCCCAAAGGCCAAAAATGAACTCTTCCAGGTTCTTTTTGTCCTCATTCTGAAGAGAGAAATCCCATTCGAAGAGAAAACTTGATCCCTCTGTCACTATGGCACTGGATTGTCTCGGTGTGATAGTGCTGGCAACTTGTCAGAATTTAAAAATAGAGGTTACTATATTCAACGTTGTTTCAGGATAATTTTATAATTCAATATAACTTTATAATCTTTCTTCCCCTCCAATCAAGTTTGTCTAGGTCATTTCCTCTCCAGCCTAAGACATTTTTTAGAACTAGATTAATCTGACTAGTAGATTTATGGATCTCAAATTTATTAATAATTCATGAGCGAAACAGCCAATAAATGAGGCATATAATGGGTCACATGCATGACCTTGACACCCAAAGAACACCCAGAAGAAAATCTTAAGGGTCTTGATCTGAGATGAAACATGGTTTTGATTTCAGATCAAACACTTGCATTTTAATGGGAATTTTCAATAATTTATACATCGTTGACAACAATTCCAAAAATGACCTAAACATTTTGGGAACGGTCTTTGCTGGATTTCGCTTCTTGGCCACCTTCAAACTTGCTGAGCGAGTAATTCAAGGTTACTGCATCTATTTCTTCAATGCTAATAGAAACCTGTTTACCGACTGAGAAATTTGCCATTCGCCAAAAAAATGGTTACCGCCCACTTTTCCTTACATTTGTTAATCGAGGGAATGACTTTTCCACTATAGTGCGTTCTTCATATACCGTTTTTGGCTCCCTTAATCGTGCCGCTCCGTCTTCACTCATGGTCACACCCCAACTACACCAAAACAATTAATCTTGCATGCATGTTAACGTCACTAAGGTGCGGGAACGTAGAATATCAAAATATCAAATGAACTGTGAGATTTTGAGATTTTGAGACGTTGATGTTATCATGATTATAAAAATATCAAGCCTTTTGACACTTAGCCACATCTGAGCCATCATTTGATATTATGATACCACTATCGATATTTTGATATTATCATAATATTGTGATATTATCATGTTATATCAAAGTATCAAGCCTTTCGACACTTAGTCACATCCAAGCCATTAAGTGTCGACAGGTGCACATGACGGGCTCCTGATGACGAAAGGCTTGATGTTTAGACAATATCAGAATATCGCGGAACATGGCAAAATTACATCCCTGCATATTTTTTTTTTTTAATTTGGGTAGGACAACGGAAATACATAGGCAATTAAGACTAGTTCCCACCCTAGAGGCCGAGAAAATGTTTTTTTCTTTTGTACCTCGACTTGCACTACTGAACATCTATAAGTCATTAATTTATCCTTATTTAACTTATGATCTTGCTGCCTGGGGTTAGGCATGCAAGACTTATCTTAACAAAATACTAATTCTTCAGAAGAGAGTGCTTCGTTTACTATACTTTGCCGAATGGCATGACCATGCAATTCCTCTGTTTTTCGAAGCTAACGTGCTTCCAATAACTTTTCTTTACTATGAGTCCGTATCAACCTTAATGCACGGTATCAATAATGGTAAAGCCCTAGCAAACATGTCAGATTTATTTCAGAAAGCGTCTAATATCCACTCATACAATACACGATCTTCTACGTCTGGCAAGGTTTATGTTAAATATTCTAGACTTCAAATACAAAAAAATTCTTTTTCTCGGCTCGGAGTTAAACTGTGGAATGGGATACCAAGCTACATAACCAATCTCCCAAAGAGAGCTTTCAAAAAAGATCTCCGCAAATTGTTACTTGATATATTAGTAAAGGAGGATGAGTATATTGAAATCCCCATGATTATTAAAATAGTAGGATCATAGAAACGCGTGCTGAGGGTCCCAGTTTACGTTCGTTTTCCTTTTACAACTCCTTGTCTTAATACATTGTTCGTCCGTGAGTGCTGTGTTAATTTGATCTCCCAACTCCTGTGTTTTATTTATCTCTAGTTACAATCTGCAAGGTTTTTCTATATTGACATAGGTTTGCCTTATTTATTATTTTTTTTCCATAACTTGTTATTCTTATCACGTTCTTGTTTTGCCCCCTCCGCGACTAGCTTCTTAGCTATTTGCGGGGCAAACCATTTTAATCATGTATTTTTGTAACAGGAATTTTCAATTACGTAAGTCTGTAATCAGAATAAGAATAAAGTTTTGTTGTTGTTGTTTGTTGTTTGTTGTTGTTGTTGTTGTTTGTTGGACTAGATCGAAGTTAGACATTTTACCTAACGTTCACAGAAAATTAAAAATCTCAAAAAGCGTGCGACTTATTTGGGAAAATGTGTTTTTGAATAAAAGTTACTATCAGGAGGGTTTCATAATCTCGAAAACGGACGAACCCCCTGGGAATAATCGCGGCAAATTGACGTTATTTGCATATTTTGTCTCCATCGCGCACGTGACAAAATTCACACGTGGAATTACGAAGCTCCCTGCTAAAGGAAAGTCTTTTCTCACGGATAAAAGAAAGACAAAAGTAGAGAGGAGTCCTGGGATTTCTCTCCACGCTGGCATCCAAATTGCCCACAAAGAAGTCGCTATCAAATCTAAGGGCCCGTCCACACCAACACGGATTCGTTGGAATCCGTATACTTCTTGATACGTTCAGGCCTTCCGTTCACACTAACACGCGGATCGGATCCACCGAATCCGTATAAGTTTCGAAACGCTGTTGAAAGTGGATAAAAAGGAATCCGTATATCTTTCGTGCTAGTGTGTACGGTCGGATCCGGATAAAAATGGAAACGATGACGTCAGCTGTACTACGTGTTCTCGCGCGAAAACCAAACATCAAAACAAACATGGCGGACCAAAACTTGCTTCTATTGTTACTCGCTTGTGTGGAATTAAATGTCGCTCTATTTAATATATTATTATTCTCACATAGAAGAACAACGAATCTTATGAGGGAAATAGCATTTTTTAGGACCTCATATCGGCGAATTGGCTTGAACACACGGCAGGCCAGGACTAGAAGATTTTGAATCTGCAAAGAGTGATTATTTCGTACCGGCGGGAAAACCGATAACAACGCAGGGACGTCTTTCAGAGCATGCGCAAAAGAACTAGCATGCCTCACAGCAGATTCGCTGCGTGTTAGTGTGGAAGGTCGGAAACGCAGTGAAAAAGGTAGTGTGGACCCGGATCAATCGATGCATTTTCGGTAAAACGAATCCGCATACTTTCGAATTCGAGTTAGTGTGGACGGGCCCTAAATTTGTCGTACATAGGGCTAAAAACGAGGTTTCCTTTCAATAAGCAAGTACCGACCTTGATACAAAAACATAGGCAATCTCCTCCAATCGCGGTGAAATCATGAATAAGCCGACCCCAGAGAACTCATTTTAGAGATAAGGTATTCCTTAAGGGTTGTTAGTAAAACGCGTAAGGGCGCAACGAGTAACGGTGTAACGAGAAACCCCGTAACGGGATTTTTTTTGAGGTTATTTTATTCTTTTTTTGTAATTTTTTTTTTGAATTTTATTATTTTTTAACATTTTATTATAATTTTTTTTTTTTATGTGAACATTGTTATTCCCGATTCGCGGGGTTTTCCCGCCCTTTGGCCAAAGTTACTGCATTTCCGGAGAAACTAGATAGTGCGGGCGCACTTTCTCACGCTTCCATTAGGATGGGCCGATACGGTTTTTTCGAATCGATACGATACCGAGTACGATATTTGCCTTTTTCTTCGATATCGATATCGATACCGATACTGTGACGTCATTGAAATGTTAAGTCACGTGATCTGATTGGCTAAATGAAGGCACAGTCTCGCTCTGTTTTCTGTTCAGTTCTCTACAATAGCATCAACAAGACAGTCGAACAAGTCAAAAATTTCAATTTATTGGGACTCATTTTAATTTTCCCGAGGAAATGAAGAAGAGCTCGCTGCAATGGTACAATCTTTCTACTTACTATACCAAGCAATAGGCAACTTTCACTTGCATTCATGATAATAAGGCCTGCAATGAAAGGTTACCTGTCGCCGTACCAGACACTAATAGTAAACAAACACGAATGCCCAACTTATTATGGATGTTGCGCCTCAATACTCCACACATTAGAGACTCCCTGCCATACAGGACCATGCAGAAGTGCCATACTTTAGAACTATTCAACCTTCCTCAGCGCTTTACTCTCGAGGTTTTTCTTTGGTAAACAGGCATATTAGTTTGCATCTCATTTTTGTTACTCCAGATATCGCCTTGTAATGCCTGGATTGTTGTGAATCTTGATTTTTTTGCCTTTGTATAGAGCAAGTAGAGTGACTTTATGTTTACAGTTAACAAAATCGTGTCCTATTTCACAATGAAATGTTGTACTAGGGAATGGAAGAAACCGCCACTTTGATCGGTACACTGCGGCAATCCTACATTGCACACAGCAGCAGCGCACATGCACGATCTCGAGCCCGGAGTCTTTTCGACTACTTGTCAGCGGTTAGTCGTGGGAGATTAAAGCTTAGGTAGGTCACGTGCAGTATCGAAAAATCGATACTCTTCGCTAGTATCGATATTCACGCCTCGATCCGACCTCGGTATCGCTGCTATCGAATATTTGGTATCGGTATCGGCCCATCCTTAGCTTCCATGAGGTCGGTCATGGAGGAGAAAGATGATGGTAAGTTTTGGACTTACATTTTCAGTAAGTTAGTTTCCTTTCTAGCTTCACGATTTTTTCAGTCACAATTTTCAGTTACAATTAGTGTAGTTGCAGGTTTCAGTAATTGAGTAGTTTTTACGTCCGGCGGGCTACCTTTCAATTCTAACAACTTGCGTTTACGATTTTCCGCATGAGTCATTCTCTTTAGGGAGAGAAAGCTTTCTGGTAAGTGAAAGTTGAATACTTAATTTGATAGTACGTAACAGTTTCTATTAAAAATGTAGCTCACCTCTAACGCTTATTAATAGTGATCACTATAGAAGAGCCTTTAAAATCGCTTTGATTGTAGCGATGGCGATAAAAAAGTATATTTAAGGTGGATACTAAGCTTATCTGCTGATTCCATGTGGCTGTCAAATTTAATTTACGGATATAGCTTAGGTTTTATGCTAAGATGTAGATTCAATGCTTCCCTTGTGTAGACGCAGATGTCAAGGACAGCAGACTCACTTCTGGGGTAAG